CTCCATTCCTTGATATTAAAATTTGAAAACCATTGAGATTAGAGATCAATTTACTCAAATTTACCCCTAGAATGAAGGTGCACAGAACACACACTGCACATGGTGTACTTTCTAAGAAATTACTTCTACTCCTCTTCAGTGAAGAAACGATTACAGATTTCAGTTAGCTTGTCTTCCACATCTTCCTTCTCTGTTAACCCTAATCCCCTGGTGCTATCAATGCAATTTAGTTGTAATTACATATTGTACTACTGAAGAGGAGTAGGAGAGGAAGAAGCTAGAGAAGTATTTACTGTATTGTGATTACAGCTATACTCAATTCTAAAAGTAATCTGATTGAAGTAATCAAGGGAGAAACACTTAAAAGAATACAAATGTCCACATCAATTATATTGGAATCTTTTGGAAGCTAATATACTGATACTGGTACCTTCATTCAAAGGCTACCCAAGTGATTCTCATTTGCCGCCCAAGGCCAAAAGCCTTGGCTGTCAATGTACAGTATATTAAAGGAAAAGCCTATAAAATATTTAGTGTTTTCATTAGATCATCTTCCAAAAAGAGTATCAACCTCAGGGTGGGAAGTCAACATGATAGTTCAGTTGTTAGGCCCCTCCCAATATGAAAAGAAAAAACTTCAATTGGCTAATCTCATCAAACAGGAAAGCCCCCTCACTCAACCTGAGAAACAAAAATAAGTTTATCAGGATAGCATCCAGGCCTGGTTCCCAGACCTAAGGAAAATCCTTTAAGTCTACAGAATGACACACTGTAAATCAGCATAGTACCAGTTATCCTGTACTTCCCTCCTCCCAAAAGAGGGACTAGATCAACCCATGACCCCCGAGAAACTTAAAATTTTCCATCTCTCAGTGAAACGCCCCCTTCCATACTTAGGTTTTCTTGCCCTTGACCAGATTGCACCAAGTCTGAAATACATGTATTGCTGTTTGCTTCAATCCTGCCTGTCCTAGTGGTCTCCAGGGTTCCTCAGGGTCTAGACTGACACTGACCTGTTTCTTTGTAAGAGAATCTTTCAGTAACTATTTTGATAATATATTAACTATTGTTATTTTATTATGATTTTCTTCATAAAAGAAAAAAAAGCCTCTGGACTGCGAAACTTAACCATTGACAATATCAACCTCCTCAATTCGAAGATGTATGTTTGCTATTTTTCTCACAGAAAATTCTAACTCGAGAATATTCTGGACAAGTAACCTTAAAAAAAAATTCTTCAACTTCCAACAGCAAACTCTTTCCAGGCAATAAACGCTAGTTCAAAAAAAAAAAAAAAAAAAAAAAAAAACCAAAAAAAACACCCACAACTCATAAAGATCTCAAAATAATACTTCTTGAAGGCAATGGTCATGCTTTTACTTTGCTCTTAGACTCTTCATGTGCTGCCTGTTTAGGGAACTAACCCTACATCATTTATCTATCTATCTATCTATCTATCTATCTAGTGAGTGCTCCGTCACTATCCTTACCCCTTAAGACAAGATCTCGCAGCGTAGTCCAGGCTGATCTGGAACTCGCAGTCCTCATGCCTCAGCCTCCCAAGAGATGGGGGACTAGGAGCATGTGCTTTGAGCTTACGCAGCTCCTTTACCATAACTCATACTGGTTTAATTGCAGGTTTTTTTTTTTTTTTTTTTGGCTCAAAGAGTTAATTTATAATCAAGGGGGGAGTATGAACAGTCCATTCCACGATTTGTCATCCTTAGAGCCTTACCACTATTGAAATAACTAGCTCTAGGGTTTAGGAACCATATCCTACTCACCTTCCACTTCAAAGGGTTTGCGGTTGGGATAACGCACAGAGATGAGAATACACCACAAGGGGCCGTGCGAGCCACCTGGCCGATCCCGCAGGCACCTAACAAAGCCCGGCAGGCGCGAAGGTGCAGCATCCAAAGGTGGCTCCCTTGAGACCTCATCTCAAAAAACGCTTGAAATTGAACAATAACACTTCCCCTCTTCTGTCTGTCGACAACGCACATCTGGGACTAGCTTTCCTCTAAATTTTGCTTTCTTATTCGCTGCCGCCTTTAGAGACGAAACTAAACCTCCCGCCTCTTACCCAGAAACTGCCCTGAAAATTACTTTTTTTCTTGGTGTCGCCGGCGGGTTCTTCTGTTCCCGGCGAAACTGCAGCAGAAGAAGGGGGTTCTGGTGTCGCTGTTTCGGGAGAGAGTTCCCCAGGGCCTTCGCCGCCAGCAGCCACAGCCGACGAAGGGAGCTGCAGGACAGAATCCGGCTCTTCCGCCATCTTCCTAGGAGAGGCGTGACGCCGGAAGTGGTAGCCGAGCGCGTGCAGCAGGCGAGCTTTGCGATGGGGGACGTCGCAAGGGAGCCGTCAGAGTAGGGGAATCTAGCACTACAGTGAGCCTTGGAGTGGCCAGATCTTTCTTCAAGTCAAACCTACCTCAGACATTAGACCATTACTGTAAGAAAGGATGTTATACCGATGCATTAAGCTTAAGGAAATGGCCTGCGAAAAACGTATCCATAGCCGCCAAGTAGTACTCTCCCCCTCTACTCGGACAAGTGGACTCGGCCTGGCAAAGTTTCCGCTTCCCTCCCCGCAGGCCCCGCCCCGCCCCCTCCGCCCCTAGGCCCCGCCCTGTAGCTCGGGGGCGCGCGCGCGGGAGGGGGCGGGTGGGGAAGGCTCGCCCGCGAGATCCCGAGGCGGCCCCCATGCCTTACCCGGTCGGCCGGCCCAGCCATGATCAAGGCGATCCTCATTTTCAACAACCACGGGAAGCCGCGGCTCTCCAAGTTCTACCAGCCCTACGTGAGTATCCGACCGCCGGTTCTTGCGAGCGGGAGTCGTTGGTGACGGGCGGCGCCCCGCGCGGCTTCCTCAGTGCGACCCTCGGGCGCCGCGGCCCTCCGCGCTCGCGGCTGTCAGCGTCCTCCACCTCACCGCCCCACTGGGGCGGCTCCTCCGCCGCCTTCCGGGCAGGTGGGTGCTTCCTGTCCGCTCGGGGAGGCCCTAGGGTCGGGCCTCCTTCGCCCCCGGCGCCGGGCGTCTGCTGCCCACCGCGCCGTGGCCTTCCGGGCTCCGGGCTGCGGTTGGCCGGGGAGCGCACCCCGCTCCGGCTCCGGCTCCGGCTCTGGGCTCCGCCCCGCGCGGCCCCACCCCCGACCGGCGGACCTTCCAGGTGGGACTCTCGTCCTCCCGGGGACCGAGCAGCACTGGTTTCCGCGCGATCCTCCCTGGCGCAGGAACTTGGGCTTTCATGCGGACCCGCTGTTGCTGTGACTTCCAGGTGGAAGATTAGGGACCTTCGTGATATTTTTATAGCGCTTTTTACCTATTGGCTGTAAACTGGTCGACCTACTTGGGACTGTGGTGCTACACCGGACAGTTATAATTCCACCTTCTGGAATCATTACTATCATACCTAGGGGAGTTTGCTTGTTTAGTTGCCCGTGTGAAACTAGTGATATTGATAAAACTCTCCTAGAAATGTAGATATTGTTAAGTGCAGGAAGGCTTAAAGTAGTAGAGATTAGTAATGTATAAATGATTGAGAAAGGGTGATAGACTTACATGCTTATCCGGGGGGCAGAATTCATCACCAGGTAAAACATAACATTGAATTCGCAGAGGTAGGATTAATTCGCAGTATTTTGTTGTATTGGGGCATTTGGTTTAGGCCAGAAATGAATTTTCAACGTTGAAGCTGTGCCAAGACTAACACTTTTATGCAGTTAAAACCCAGATGGAAATCATTACTGCCATTAAAAATTAAATGTGAAAATGTCAGTTTGCCTAAAATGATAATGCAGTATGCGGAGGTGTTGGTTGAAGTGCGAAGTCTTGAGCTTATTCTATATTTTGTTATGTGGCTTTGCTTTTGCTGATGATAAAGAATATTTTCCCCTAGTGCCATGTGGCTTTAATTTGGTACAATCTAAATGCTGGTGCTCCTTTTAAAAACTGAATAAAGTTCTGCTTGATCCTTCTAAGTGGAAAAATGCCATTAATTTAATTACTCATTTCCTTAACATGTTTTTAGCCTTCGTTGAAGGAATCTTTCACTTACATTTTACCAGTGCCATCATCCATTTACAGTGTAGTAGAAGCATGCTTCAGTAGTGAAATCGAATTCAAAAGTTTTCTTTCTGTATCTAAATTTAACAGTTAAACATTATTTAACACAGTAGGTTCCCCGGCTAATCTGTGATAACAGTGCAGTTTATCCCTGGAGTGTAGAACATAACTGCCCACTGAAGTAATAACAGGATTTAATATGAAAATCTAGGAGTACAGATCTCTCTTGTCTTATAGTGGGAAGAAAAGTATCCTTTGCCTTCACTCAGTACCAGAGAAGGTTAATGTGAGCAAAGGCAGTTGTGGCAGCAGAGAGAACTCTGGTGGCCTTTTTGGCTGTTGCATGAATGACAGCGATTCTTGGGGTGTGGAACTAGAAAGTATGAATACTGACTGTATAGAAGTGAGATGCCTGAAGCTGTTGTTGCAAATGAATCTTTAAAAATTGGGTTTTGGAAGTGTATAGTTTTGTCTTTTGGGAATAACAAGATAATGTACATATTTGCTTCCCCCTTTAGATAGTAACCTATCAACACATTAGCTTCTTGCCTATCAGCTTCGGCACTGGGAGTAAACAAATAGATCTAGCTCCTTCTCTTGTGGACACAGCCAGTAGAAAGTATTGTAGACTGGATAGCACACCAACTAATAATAAATGCCGTGTGAAAAATAAAGCAGGACGAGGTGGTAGGCAGTGTGAGGATAGCCATTTAAACTAGGGTAGCCAGTGAAATTCTCACTGAGACCAGTGAGTTGAAGGAGATAAAGCCGGTGTTGAAGACAGATGGGAGAAAGACACAGGCCCAGAGGAGAGGATCAGGAAAAGTTGTAGTACACTCTGTTCTTACTGCCTGAAATGTCTTCCTTTGTTGCCACATGTTCAAATTCAACACTTGGATATAGGCCAGTGGTGGCCAACCTGTGGTACGTGTGCTGCAACAATCACAGAGCTCTTATCAGCATGTGAGAGAAGTTGTGCGGCGTTGCCCCAGTAGCCAAGCGTTCAGGTTTAATTGCAGAGTTGGCCCATTGCAATAAATAAGTGGGTTTGGGGCTGTAGTTTGGGCACTTGATCTCTAAAAGTTTGTCATCCCTGATCAAGGCTCAGCTCAAATTTTACTTAAGAATTTGCTGAAATAGTTATGATGTGCAGGACTCATCTGTTTAATAGATTTTTCTCTTAATCCTTGTAAGGGGATGATACTGTCTTCCACAGCTTGTAGTTCCTTGGAGCTTCTTTTCCTACAGAGTCCTTGAACGACAGTATCAGGTGTATTTATTCATCCTCTGCAAGCGCCACTGCATCTTCAATGTGGAAAGCTCTTACTGAATCTTTGCTAAATTCATTCATTTATAATCTACCTTGAAATTAGAGTTTGGGTTGGAATTCCTGAATGTCTTTCTGACTCTGAAAATTGAGTCCTTTATTAACTAGAAATCTTAAGAGTCTATAGTTTCAACACAAAAGTAGTGGTGGGTTAGCTTGTTACTTCAGTTTTTAACTTCAGTGAAGTATGGTAGTGCCTAGTTTGAAGAACTTAATTTGTTCTGTGATTTTGGGATGATGGACATTTATTTGTGTGGAAAAATAGCTGTGGTCCTGTTTGCCACTGATGCAGAGTTTGTAAACAAAAGCAAAATTTTGGAAAACACTGCTGTTTGAGAACCAAGTAGTTTGAAACAAGTGTTTGTGAACTAAGGTGCCATTGTATGTATCCACACATACAAGTTTAAATCTCTGATGGCTTCTCTTAAATTCAAAGATACAAAGATAGATAGTAGAAAATAGGGAGATAAACTTTTTGAAAGGCACCACTGTACTTCTTCAAAATTAAAAATTTAAGAGCTAACCTACCATTTTTGTATTAAAACCATAGACTCCCAAAATTTCTTGTTAATGAAGGACTAAATTTTAAGAGTCAGAAGGCCATTTAGGAATTCCTGTCAAAATTATCTCAAGCTAGATTCTAAGTGAATGCATTTAGGGGAACTAAGAGGCGGACCGGGTGGGGGGGGGTTGAAAAGAGAATATATAAGAAATATAATGGTTGTACACTACAAACATGTACTGTTAAAAACTAAAAAATTGAGAAACGATATACCCAGTGAAATTGATAGTTTTGCTTCATAAATTGTAAAGCATGGTCTGGAGATATGACTGAGCCAACAGTGTCATGCCCTAATAACATGAGTCCAGTGATAATGGTGTAATAGCATGGTTTGAAAGCTGTTTAAACCTTTCATTGACATATGTCTCCTACTGTGTTGTGTTCATTTTTTATGCTTTCTCCACACACAGGTACTGTATAACAACTTACATGTTCATCTCTATTTGTCCTTTAGTAGTGCATATGTTCATTTCAGGTTTAATAGATTTTTTGCTTTGTGCATTGTGCCCTTTAGCTGCTGTAATGTATGAGACATGAAGTTACACATCTGTTTCGCTAAATGTTTGGTTCATTCTGCTAGTCAGGTAGTAAGAATTGAAGAGTGGACTCAGTGCATCCCTTTTCTTTTTTATATCCTTGAACTGTCACTGTAGAAATTCAAATACTTTTCTTGGTTTGTCTTTTTCAGTTGATGCCTAGTAATAGCAACTTGGCAATAATAACCTCTTGTCTTAATATTTGCCTGGCAGTATCTATGTATTACTGATAACACATTTCATAAACAAGATGTATTTTTTTAGAGCTACCAAACAAGGAAAAAAAGACCTTTGGATTATGATTCCTTTGTTATTAGCAAACTGTACTTTATCTTTTTTTTTTTTTTTTTGCGGAACTGGGGTTTGAACTCAGACCCTTGCACTTGCCAGGGAAGCGCTTATTCCACTGAGCCATCTCCCCGCCCCCTGTACCTTATCTTTTGATAAGTCAGTATAATAAAGTAGAAATTTTTCTTTTGGATGAGTTGTCTTACTAGTTTCCACAGTTTGTAGAATAAATAAAAGATTGTAGAATAATAAAAGATTGTGCGTATATGTATACATGAACATAAGCCACATATTTGTCAGATGCAAGGAGGAAAATTTCTGAACGTGTTTCCTCTTTTATTATAAACTGGTATCCTTCATACTTGTGTATTACAGATTTCTCCACTTGTTCTGATAATCTAAGGTAATTCTGAGTGGTAGACCATCTAGAGTCCAGTCCCTTTCTGACTTTTATTCAATATGACTCTTTAGGATAAATTGCACGTATTTTGTCCTCACTCATTCTGCTCACTCATTCTGCCCTGACAGTCTTCTCCAAGTGTAGTGTAGGTAAATATGTTTTTACTAAAGTATCTAGCAACTTTTAGAAGGTATTGTACTGCAGGTGGAATCAAGGGCAGTTCTAACTCATGTTAAAACTCTTGAGTTAGAGATACTGCTAGATTTGGACTACTGAAAGGAGGAGGGGCAACTCTGGAAATTTTGACTTACAGCTCCATTGCACTCTTTTCTGTTTCCCTGCCCATATACTTCCAAGTATTTACTTGTTTGTAGGGTCCTACTATGCCTTGTATCTAGATGTCTCCCCAAGCCTCACAGTCTTAAGTGGGGTTTTTTGGAGTTGGCTTAATCTAGGGTGTATGATGCTGGGTTTAAAGTCATGATGTTGGAATTAAGGATGTGATACTGGATCTGGGGTGGTACCACATAAAGGATGGGTAGCCTGGATAGAATCTAAAAGGACAGAAAGAAGGTAGGCTGCTGCTGCCATTGTTGCTGCTTGCTGCCTACTGTCTGCCCTGCCCTCTCAACTGTTTTCACTCTGCTGTGCCCCTTTGTCTTGGAGCCACCCAATTATGGACTGAACCCTCTACAAACTGTGAGCCAAATAAACAACTTTGGGTATTTTTCTCATCAAGAAAAGTAACTAAGACAGGCCCTGTTATAAATAATAATACAGTAATAGGATACTGTCCATTAAGTTTACATTCTAGTGATAGGAGATAGGTAATAAATTATGTAAGATTGTGATTGGTCTATGAAGAAAATGAAAACTGGGCACTGTGATGCGTATTTGTAATTTCAGCCACTTGCACG